GATCTCTGTCCACTATGCAAAAACAGAGCTAGAAGGAACAATTCTAGTTTTTAAATTTATGTCAGAAACAGCATAGCTATTATCTGGCAGTTCCCATTTATCAGAGCCTCAGCTCTGCATGAGGTATAAGGTAGCCTTTTTCCTCAATGATGTCTTTATTTGCTCAGTCTCCAGCTGTCTCTGTGGTAAACCAGCTAGTTCGAGAACAACCAGCATGATTGCTTCAACTGTCTTCAGGATCAATAAGAAAACAGTCACCAAACTGATCTCTCAATTTCCTACTGTGAGTTTCAACCTTACTCTGAGAAAAACAAGACTTAAAAGAGGTGCGCGTATTTTAATATGCACGTGCACATTCATGCGGCAACCTACATCCTGGCACAAGGATCCTCAAGGGACTGTCCTAGTTCTTAGCCTTCACTGGAATTTTGCTGTGGTGAACATTGCTTCAAATAAATGGTCCTTCAGCCATTATTAGGAATTGTACTAAATAATTTGGTGTATAGATTTGGTTATGATAAGATTTAGTTAGAAAGAAGGAGTTCATTATAAAGGTGAAAAAGGAATCCCGTAGTCAGAATTAACTCCATTCTCATTTTATTCTTTTAATACATGGGTAAAGTTTATTAAGAAAACACACAAATCGCTGGGCAGCTCTTCAGGTAAACATCAGTTTTTCTTATTATTATTTTCCCCCAGTCCATGCGGAAGTTAAATGATTGATTTACAGGTAGCAAGGGGATCCTGAGAACACTTGCCAGATTACTATTTGTAATACTGAATTTATAAATCCTGGAAATGCTCTGTTATTTGAACCTAATTTATACAGATGCAGTAGCTTGCATGGAAAATACTCTGCTGGGAAGTAGGCCTATTGGTTTTCTCTGGTCCCTTGAGAAATAAGGGCCATGAATTTCCATAAAGCAAATGAGTTTTCAGTTAATACAGCAGTGATCAGTTACAGCTGCCCACTGAGACAGAGCACTGGGTGAGCCTGGGGGCAGACAGGAACAAATTGTATTACAGTCAAAGAGAATTACAAGAAGCCCTTGTTATTTTCCTGTTTTCTAAATGGACCCCCGCAGAGGCAGGAACAGGCATTAGGAATCAGGTTTGCCACCTGCAGAGATGCAGGAGAACAAGAATCAACCCATGGATTTCTTGTGCTAGTCAGGATATTGGAGATTGAATTCTGATTGGTTCTAAGTCAAAATGATGGAGAGAAGAGAGTTGTTATTTAGTGAAAGCGAGGGGTGGGGAGGGTTGTAGCTGGCCCACTGCAATGTCAAGTCATGAGCACAGACACATGTCAATTGGTGGTGTGGACCTCCTAATCTAGTCTGGTAGTTCTCATCCTGAGTGTGTATCTGTGTAATGACAAACATTTCAGGGACAAGTAAAAAGTTTTAAATACAACAACAAACAAATAAGCAACAGCAACAAAAAATGCAAACAAAAAAACAAACAAAACCTCCCCCCAAACCCCTAAACCCTTACAGGGTAGGCAAGTAGGGGATAGGTGTTTCTGAAAACACCTAACTGGCCATTTTATTCAAATTCACTTTATAAATGAAACCTCATCTTTTGGACGTCTCTGGCGGAATCCTTAGATGATCATGGCCACTGATTTCAAAGCATGACATCTCAGAACACAGCAAAGAGAAGCCACAGGTATCACTATGGTAGGAAACGTGTAGAATTTAATACTGCATCTCAAGGTTGCATTGTGCGATGGAAACTTTGGGCACATAGCATGGCATGTGGCACTCTTTTTTTTTTTTTCGAGACAGCGTCGTTCTGTTGACCAGCCTGGAGTGCAATGCCGCAATCTCGGCTCACTGCAACTTCCTCCTCCCCAGTTCAAGCAATTCTCCTGCCTCAGCCTCCTGACTAGCTGGGATTACAGGTGTGCACCACCACGCTTGGCTAATTTTGTATTTTTAGTAGAGATGGGGTTTTACCATATTGGCCAGGATGGTCTTGATCTCCTAACCTTGTAACACAAGTTCTGCCCTCCTCAGCCTTCCAGAAGTGCTGGAATTACAGGCGTGATCCACCACACCCAGTCGGCACTTTTTTATTTGGGGAAAGTAAGAAGTCTAATATGTCACCAGCAGGACCCACATGTTTACCTCTGCTGGGAGAACCTTTGAGACTTTACTGAAGGCTGTACACCTGTCACTGAGCCTTCTTATCACAGAGCAGTGAACAACCTTGGTAGCCAAATCTACCCTGAAGATGAAAAGAGTCACCAGCTGATTCTAGGCTTGGTTGTTTCGGTGTCACAGCAGTGTAGGGTGGTGACATTGCCACCACAACCAGATACAGACTATGAAAAGCACTTCTGCAACCCAGAAACCCAGTTCCTAAGGGAACCAGGGAAGGAGAGCCTATAAGCCATTTGAATTTTGCAAATATTGGGTAGTGTTGGGACACTTCTGCCCTTCTTGAAATGGGGGAAAATAATTGTTATTCTCCTTCCCAGAACTTCTTTGTCTTTGTCCTCTTGGACAGTGAAATCACAACCATTATGTCATGCAAATGTAATCTCCTCTCCCTTCTCTCTGGTCTTGTTAATTAAAGCAGTTTTGCTGTGCTTAAATTAATGAAACTCACTCATGTTGTTCAGTGAATATGGCTATGTTCAATTTTACCCAGACTCTTAGGAAATCAGTTGTCTCCTTTATTTCCTCTTTTTTCTCTTCTCCTACATCTTCTGTGGTTTACATCACTTCTCTCATTTCCATTTGGTATTTTGTAACCTTGTGTATTTATTTAAACAGTTCTAGCCTCATTGGACAATGCAAACTTAAATAAAACATTTATACATTTGAAGCAAAAGAGCGTTTAAGTTTAAGAGACTTGAAAGCAAGTGGGATGTGATAGCCTGCTTTCAACTTTTAGGTCCTTTCAAAAATCAGATTGCAAAGGAAGTTGTAGGTAATATTGGAAACCACCTTTCTCTGGAAAGTTTTTGTTGCTAAACGTTCCTGTTATGGTGCTTGTGACAATATGAAGATGAATTTTCTCCACTGTCTCAAAGGGCCTCTCTGCTCTCTCTTTAAAACCTAAAATAAATGCTTATTTTTCCTAATGAGTATTCTTATGCTAAGAATGTAATCCTTTTAGTTGGAACTTAAGCAATGAAACTCCGAATCTAAACCTGTGTAATGAAAGAGGTTTATTGCTTAAGAGGTTTAGGTTTTATGTACACAATTGTGGGGCAGGTAGAAAACTATATTTGATTCATGAAATAGCTTTGGATGACAATAAATCATTGAGATGTATGATAGAGGCAAATTCAGGTGCCATTGAAATTGTCAGTAGCCCCCTACATGGGATATAATTAATATGACTGTTCTTTCAAAATCAAAAATGAAGACACATCATCTGAAAAATATGAATATATCTACTCTTACCCTGAAACATTTTGGGTTGCTCTGGTTAATACTGGGCAATTTTTACACTAACAAAAAACTGGTATAGTTTTGTGTTGCTCCCACAGGACAGAAGTTTTCCTGAAACACGGAGCTGTAAGACTGTCTAATGTAGCTGCTTGTGCTTGGCTGTGGCCTTTGGTAGGTCCTGTACCTGGTCTGAGAGATTCTACAGAAACTTTGCAACTTTGAATTGATTGCTACTTGCTCTACAAAACATCTGAGTGCTTTTAGAGATAATTTCTTTGGATAAAAGGTAGTGAGGTGAACTACTTTCTCTAAGTAGCAGCAAGGTGTGTTGGCAAATCATTCCAATGGTAGAATGGTTAATAGGATTAAGCTTTCATCTTTTTTCCTTGCCCTCTATTATATTTCAACTTGATTCTTATCTTGCTCTTCCCAAATAAACAATAAACTTTCTGCATTGTCTGAGACCCAGTAGTATGTTCTAGGAGCATATTAATGTATTGCAAAAAAGTTTTACTTTAGTTTCAAGCATATGAAGTACTTTTGGATGCAAATGGATTAAAGACTTACTGTTTTTTGAGTCTGAGACAAAAAGGAAGGTCTCATCCCTTGTGTCATAGGAGATCAGAGGATTGTTTTCCGTAGGTATGCGATTCCTAGGAATTAATGTCTAGAGCTCTAACATCCCACTCCATACCTGTGGAAAACAACTTCTGTAATTTTTTAAAGTTGAAGTGCGATTTCAAGTGCAGGTTTCAATGAAGTTCTCAGTACAAGGTAACAGGAAATGCAAAGTGAGTTGAAAAAGTATAGTATTACATTTGCATAAAATGCATGATGGGAAAAACCCCTAGAAAATTGATCTTTCTCTGAATATCTGCCTAGGGTCTAGAATAATCTTTTCATATATTTGAGTCAGAAGATGCTTTCAAAAATTGATAAATTTAATTTTAATGATTTCTGAGCTCTTAAAATTCCTTTAAAAATGTATACACTGCATTTATTCAATATTGTATGGAAAGTACCCTGTTACAAAAGTACCTTTAGTCCACTGTCAATCTACTTTTCCTCCTTTAAAATCTCCATGTCAATGGCCCTTATATTTGTAATTCAAGTGTCAGAGGTGTTTGAACCAGAGCGACTCCATCTTGAATAGGGGCTGGGTAAAATAAGGCTGAGACCTCCTGGGCTGCATTCACAGGAGGTTGGGCATTCTAAGCCACAGGAAGACACAGGAGGTTGGCACAAGGTACAGGTCACAAAGACCTTACTGATAAAAGGATGTGGTAAAGAAGCCGGCCAAACCCCACCAAAACCAAGACAGCAATGAAAGTTGCCTCTGATTGTCCTCACTGCTCATTATACGCTAATTATATTGCATTAGCATGCTAAAAAAACATTCCCACCAGTACCATGACAGTTTACAAATGCCATGGCAATGTCTGGAAGTTGCCCTATATGGTCTTAAAAGAGGAAGAAACCTCAGTTCTGGGAATTGCCCACTCCTTTCCCAGAAAACTCATGAACAATCCACCCCTTGTTTAGCGTGTAATCAAGAAATAACCACAAAAATAGCCAACCAGCAGCCCTTGGCACTACACTGCCTACAGAGTAGCCATTCTTTATTCCTTTACTTTCCTAATAAACTTGCTTTTGAGGGAGAAAAAAAGGACAAATCAGTTAGGTAGACAGCTAAGACTAGTCCTTGGAGAAGCAGCCTGCCTGAAAAATCATAGCTACAGGCAAAAATGGAGCAGCCTGGGGAAAACTCAGACTGTAACTGCTGCACTCTTAGAAAGTAAGGCCCAGCACAAAAGCCTTTTGTTCAGTGTGTGATTAGTGGGCTCCCAGGAAAAAGTTTCCTGCTTTTTTCTGCTCTGTGGGAACTTCCACAGGGAGGAAAAGGGGCTTACTTAAAACAAACCCACAGTTATACAACAAGAGAAGCTATGCTTTGTGCTTGCCTAGAGACATCCCGTAGCTGCACAGATAGAGGCAGTTATACAGACAGCTTTTCAGATAAGAGAAGTTACTCAAATAGCTACAGCGATGAGAGGAGTTTCTTACGAAAGCTTTTGGATTCAGCTGTAAAAACAGCAACCCACTTGGGCTCCCGTCTCTGCTAGAGAGAGCTTTTCTCTTCTGCTTATTAAACTTTTGCTCCAACCTCACCCTTTGTGTCCATGCTCCTTAATTTTCTTGGTTGTGAGACAGTGAGCTCAGATAACACCTTTGACAACAAGACCATTGATCCTGACCTGTTTCACTTTCACTTTACTCTATGGACTCCCCTGAATTCTTTCTTGCATGAGGTCCAAGAATCTTCTTTTGGAGTTTCTATCAGATCCCTTTCCAGTAACAGAAGTGCTTAGGACACAATAATATGGTTTGCATTAAATTGAACTTGACTCATCTGTCTACTGTTTTAAGAATGGTACTCAATATGGGTAGTATTGCATAACAAAAGGTTGAACATTTGCCACACAATGCAGCTCACAAAGCTATCTACATTTGGTTTTGCTTCTGGAGCAGTTTGTAATGTACACAATTCCTTGTACTTTTTATATTTTGATGACAGTGAAGAACATTGACTATGAGTTGAAATTATTTGTAATTAAATGGATTAAATGGCTCTTAAATGGATGTCCCAGAGTTGGACTCTTTAATTGACTTTTGCCTTAGACTCTACTTGCAGTGGTCTTAAATGCAGTCTGCACGCCCTGTTCTGTGACTATGGATCCTGAACCATACCAAACTGGGGGAAACACAGTGGTTAGAGTTGTAGTGGCCCAGGCATTTATGAACTTTTATGTTCTCATTCTTCTCCTGAGCCCAAGCAATAGGCCAGTGAGTAAAGAATTATGTTGAGAATCCAGGCAAGAATCTTGATATTTCTACAATGACAGTAGGGATTCCTTGAGAAACCAATTTTCTGTTGGTGGATATTTCTATGAAGAGGATAATATTTCTTCCAGCAGCAGTTTTTTTGGTTCTGATTGACCTCAAGAATTGTACAACCACAACTTAGGTGTGTGTGGCCAGTTGAGGAGCTGAGAAACTTAAGCTACCATGTCCTATTCTTAGGTTGCTTTGGCTAGAACCCTCTAGAATTTGTAAAAACACAACTGATAGTATCAGCTTCTGCAGTATTCATGGCATAAGCTGGAGAAAAATTTCTAGTGCCATCTTATCTTGGTGATTGCCAGTAGATGGAGAATATGTCCATATAAAACTGATTATCTTTATTATATGAGAGATGCAGTATGCATCTTATCATTTCCACATATTTAGATAAAACATTTAATTGAAGCATTACCAAAAATATCTTGTTTTTAGCTTTTAAACATATAAATAGACTTAAGTAAAGACTTTGAATGGTTTGGGGACTTTCTGTTAAATGTAGTCAGAATCTTTGCAGAGGTATTTTCTTTGTATCTTAGCTACATTTCATATCTATGTTTCTGAATTTCAACTTTTGCCTGGATCCTGAGATGTAAAGGGCATGCTGTGATAATGTGGGAAACAGAATTTGCTAGCATCTTTTGGATAATATTAAATGAGCTAAGTGAGACTTTTTCGATAATAAAATTTGCAAGTGAATGGATATCAGTTTTATCAACATAGTCATATTATTGAAGGAAATGAATGCTCTCTTACCTACTCATAGCTGTGCCTTAGAAGAGTTTATTTTAAAACTGCAACTGTCTATTTCAATGTTGAGAAGTGCCTCAAATGGCCAGATTAGGAGTTCTCCTTCTGACAGCCCCGTTGGGATTCTATCACAGAAGGCTTCCCTTAAGGGGCTTCCTCCCTTCTCAAGGAGATTTCTCTCAGGGTTTAGTGCCAAAGATGAGCAGAGATTGTTCCCAGTGAATTCCCCAAGTTTCCCTTGTTGTTGTTTTGGTGCTGATAGTTTTCATTTATAATTTTCACTGCACATAGGAAGCATTGGCTGCCTGGTAGGCCAAACTTTTTGTATGTATTATGTCACTTAATCTTGACCACAATTCAGTAAGGTTGCTATTATCATCCACGGTTTTAAGAGAAGACTGAAGCTAGGAGAGCTTAAATATGTTGCTCAAAACCATAAAGTCGAAAAATTTCAAAGTGTATTCAGACGTTGGTTTGCATGACCTTGAAGCTCAAATTTTAGCTTCTTCGCTATACTCTTTTATTCACCATCATCAAGCTGTTAAAGTGGGTCTACAATGTTACAGCTAGAGGCTTAAAACAGAAGTATGATCAAATCCCCTTCTGAGGACAGATAGCGCCTTCCTATGGGGACATTAGTAGCAGGGTCCTAGGGATTCATAATTGCCCCAGCCAAGTCTCTTTCCTCTTCTTCCCTTTCTAATGATTGGCAAGGAAAGACGGATGAAGGAGCAAAATAACAGTGGAGACTGAAAGAGAAAATACCACTAACTGCTTGGGACAGAATAAGCTAGAAATTCCACAGCAAGTGATCAGGTGAAGAAGCAAAGCTTCTGCCCCATATCTATAGTCTGCATTTCTGGGATACCAACCCAGAAAGAAATCACATCCTTAGGCAAGGGTAAAATTAGAGGGAAGAAAAAAGCAGAATATTCCATTTTCTTTATCTTCAGATTTTATCAGAAACCTTAGACCATCTAGTTGAGTCGGGGTTGTTATGTCTCTACTTGCCTTGGAATTGCAAGGTGGTTCTAGCAAATTTACATTAAAAAATGGTTTTGAATGAAAAATGTTGACAATGCACTTATTTATTATTTACTTTAGAATGTCTTATTTTAAAAATAACCCCCTTTATTGTGTATTCTGTGTAGAGTCTCAAAGATGACATGGAAGAAACTTGTTCACACGCATGACATTTGTGGAAAAAGATAGATCAGGTCCTACTTGAAGGGAAAGTTGCTCCAACAACTTGCCAGATAATTCGTATTAGGAGCTGGTATTAAGCAGAAACAATGTTTGTGGAAAAACAGCCTGATGAGCAAAAGCAATACTATGTCATCCCTTGAGAGAAACCATCATAGCCCATGAAAAGCATGAATTTTCCTCCTCTGTTATTTACATACAAATATTACGTTGTACTCTGTTTGAATTATCCATTTTACTTATGGAAGCTCTAGTAGTGTATATATGTAAATATATACAAACTAGTACACTTTTTTTTAACATTCTAAATCTTTTTAAGGTCCTAGTTTTAGCTACTTTTGTCAGAAAATATAAAAAATTAAACATAATATCTGTCTATTATGGAACATAATATTTGAGAAATGGAGATTATTACAAGCAAACGGGAAACTTCATCAGAAGGAAACATTAGAACACTTATTTTGGCTTTTGTTTTTTCCCATCTACTGGATAGATGGGTTGAGTCCACATAACTATAGCCAATAGATCTGAGACTAAATTCAGTTATTCTGATCCCGACAGCTGTTTTCTAGAAACATTGCTTTTGGATATCTGGCACATATTTGTGCCTTGTCAGATCGATGAAGAAATACAAATTTTACAATGGAGTCTTCCAGCAGATTGTAGACTCAGGAATACTCAGAAGTCAGCAGCCTAGTTTTTCACTTGTATCTTCATAGATAACTACAAGGGGTATTTGACTAGTTTAATCAATGCTGACAAAAGTTCAAAATGGAGAGCTTCTTGGCATGGGCCATCTGACTTGGCTGTCTACCTAGATCAAGTAAAATGGGTGATTGCCAAATCTCTACTGTGTTTCACAACAAAGAAAATCAGTCAAAGAGGAGAATTGTCTTAGAGAAACTATTTAGAAGATTGACACTTTACAAAGGAAATCTTGACATTTAGCAGAGATCAAAAAGACCAAAATATTGGTGGTAACATTATATAAACACAATCTTCAGGAAAATATTTTTGGGCCATTGTTAATATTTCACATCCAAGTAGCTACACAGGATTGAAAAATAGATGACACACTTTTTTTATATGGTCATTTGAGTCTGTCTTGAGATTATGTTTATTGGATCTATTATTTAAAAGAAGTTGAAACTGTTCTGGCAATCAACAAAAACATCTGCCATTTTATTACACTGATTCAAAAGGCATAAGGATTCTGAGCTGAGTTAAAAAAAGAAAATAATATGTGGGGAGCATGCGGTATGGAGAAATCAGTGAGAAATAAAGAGTACATTTTAATGCTTGACTTCCTGCATGGATGAAGTGATGAGCTCATTGACTATTACCTTTTGTGAACACTTAAATAGGAGCAAGAAAATTGCACATTTAAAACTGGGGAACAAACCACTGAAAGCCTAAGAATGAAAACTCCCCTATGATGACTCTTTGGAAGTATTTGCAGTGCATAAGAATCAACCTTTCTACAGCTGACACATGACTGTGGTTTAGATTACCTTTCATGCTGATCTCTTCCCTTGCAGTTACGGAGCTAGATGAAAGAGATGTTATTTTTTCAAACAATACAAAACCAAGAAATGGAAGTGAAAATGATGCCTTAGCCAGATGCTAATTTTAAGGTAAACGTTAAAGATCTAAAATAGAATAATGGATCCATTGCCTTGCAAAGCACTAGAAAGACTCGGACCTTCCGTTCAAGGTGCTTTGATCAGAGGTAGCATTTACTTTATGTGCTTCTATGGTGAACTTAACAAAAGATGGTTTTTCTTTGATGAGGTCGTAAATATTTGCTTGAACACAAAATATTACAGACAGAAGGGTCACCTTTTATGATGACTTTAATTCACATACCACAGTGGGTTTTGGTTCCATTGGCTGTCTTGCACAAACCGGACTCCTCAGTGTGGTATACTCCTTTCCTTCCAAATGCTCCACTTACTTTGGCTGTCCCTCTAATGTGCAGAGCAGAGTGGCCAGAGAGGAAAGAGGTTGGATGACCTAAAAGCAGGCACTTTCTTAGAGAATTAGAGCCTCCTACACATTCTTGAAGCAACCTGCTTCCACATACATGGTGACTTCTAAGCTTGGTGAAGGTCGGAATGGCATGAGATCCTGTTAGGGCAATGGAGCAGTTTCTGCTTCCAGATTTTCTAGCTGAAAGGAGAGAAAGAGCAAAGACAGTGAACATTTCAGATGTGGTTGCAGCACACATTTATTGAGCATCTTCTGCCCATAGGAACTATACTGAAGACCTTCTCGTATACTTTCACCTGCAAGTTTCAGTTTCTTTTAAATGTCAAGACATTAATCAATCTCTTCAGACATTTTGAATAATCTTCTGGCTCATTATGAATATGCTCTTCATTTGTGTATACTACTGAAAACAACTGTATAGTCATTGTAGAGATATTATTGATACCTTCTTTGAAAAAATACCTTCTAATCGAAACTCTTTCTCCCCCTTCGTTACCCTCTTCCTCCCTCTTTAGCCTCAAATCATTTATGACTTGATCAACATTTTGAAAGAAAAGCAATGCTTTTTTCAGTACTTCTGATCTTCTTTATTTCCAGATAAAGATATTTTTATTTTTACCCAATTCTCAAAATTAATGATTTTTTTTATCCTGTAACTGATTTGAATTACACCCCACCTGATCGCCACTGTAAACCTGGCATATGTGTTGAACAGTAACAAAATTTGCTCAGACACATGGAAATGTGGCCTGGTATTTTCAGGTAACGAAAGAGGACTGTGGAAATATAACAAGTTGTGTAATTAACAAATAATTTTTGCTATCATTCATTATAATATTGCTGAGGAGAAAAGCAGATGTTTGTATAATAAGTGTAAAAGGGTAAAAGATCATTTTTTTAAAATTTTATTTTGGTAAATTTGCTTTATCCATGTGCTTTACCATCTGCTTTATCTCTCTTTCTCTCTCTCTCTCTTTCTCTTTCTCTCTCTCTCTGTTTCTCTCTCTCTCACACACACACACCATCTTTTTAAACCATTTGTTGCTTTACCCTTAAATATTTCAGTACATGTTTTCTAATAATAAAGAATAGGTCAGGTCATTCTCATTTTAGGGAGAGGCAGTCCATCATGGCCAGAAGTGTCCCTGCACACCCTGGCTGACCCTGAGAAATGGTAAGTTCTAACTGTCCTTTGACTCTGATCGTTTCTGTAGCTGGTCACACAGGCAATTAAGTAGGCACAGGTGATCACAGCACTGACCACAATGTGGCTGCTTGCTCCTAGGGGAGGTTGGTTTATGGCTCCCCCAGGTGCTGAGACTTAAGCTCTGGGTTCCTCAACTGTGAGATGACCCACTGTGTGTGTACTGCCATCTGGTCCCATCGTATTGCCTTGTGGGATTTGGGAGTAGGGAAACTGGCACTATTACGCTAAAGCTTCTGCTGTTTGCTGTGCTGTGAGTAGTCAATTGTCTGAGTCTTTTGTCTAATTTTGGCACCTATAGAGTGGCAAAGCAAGCTACTTGCTTGCTTAGTCATCTCCTTTGGAATCCTGTTACTTCTTGCCGTCTTCTAAGGGGTTGAGATTCTTCCCAAAGTGGCACAAAGTGCAGGGTGCCAAGACAGACGACAACTTTTTGGAAGAATAAAAAGGCAAGAACTCATAAGCTGGGTTCAGGGACATTTGTGAGCTCCCTGGGTCTGGTAGCAAATATTCTAGCCCAAATGGTGCAGAAGGTGGGCAGCGAGTGGTCCACCTCTGTCCTATCTGTTGATGAACAACAGTTGAGCCAATAGATGGAGGCTGAAAAGTGAGGGATCAAATCCAACAAGCTGCCCTGGTTTCTGTTTGCTCTCCTATAGGGTAAAGGACCGAGAGAACATTCCGGGCCCCATTAGGGAGGAAAGCACAACTGTGTCAAGTTGTAAGTTACAATTGTATACACCTGAAGGGCAATGTATTCCCACAGAGAGTACCAAGATGCAGATCCATGGGGAGAGAGAAAGGAAAGAAGTCCAGGGGTGCTTTGATCGGCAGACAGAGGGGCTGTTCGACACTTGGCTGCTGCACTGGTGTAATCAAGGAGTAAGAAAGTTATGTCTTAGAGCATGCAGAACTGAGGCTGTCTCATGTGGGACCCTGTACTTTAAAACACTGTGCAAATTACGTCATTTAGACAGAATCATGTCCCACAATAAGGTTTGCTACCCTGGATTTCTGTTTTAGTGACTACATTATGGCCAATCCCAGAAGATTTTCCTTTCCTTTCCTCCCCTCCTCTCCCCCTCCCCTCCTCTCCCTCTCCCTTCCCTTCCCTTCCCTTCCCTTCCCTTCCCTTCCCTTCCCTTCCCTTCCCTTCC